TATAAAATTGTATTGTTGATAATTTTACTATAAATTTATTGTTGGTAATTTGGCTATAAAATTGTATTGTTGATAATTTTACTATAAATTTATTGTTGGTAATTTGGCTATAAAATTGTATTGTTGATAATTTTACTATAAATTTATTGTTGGTAATTTTACTGTTAAATTTTATTCATAATTTTACTATAAATTTGTATTGTTGGCAATTTCACTATAAAATTATATTGTTGGTAATTTTGCATTAAATTTCATTGTTGGTAATTTTATCATAAAATTTCATTGTTGGTAATTTTACCATAAGATTTCATTGTTGTTAACTTTACTATAAATTTGTATTGTTGGTAATTTTACTATAAATTTTACTATAAAAATGTTTTGATGGTAATTTTGCTTTAAATTTTTATTTTTTGTTAATTTTACTATAAAATTGTATTGTTAATTTTTCTGTATTTACTGTATTCTTGATAACTTTACTGTAAATTTGTATTGATAATTTTAGTATAAAATTGTATTTTTGGTAATTTTTATTTAAAATTTTATTGCCGGTAATTTCACTAAAATGAGGAAATATTGTATTGTTGGCAGTTTCACTACAAATATGAATGTAATCTTTTTTATATATAAAAATGTATAGTTGGTATTTTTACTATAAAAATGTTTTTTTATACTTTCATAGTTTTTTTTTTTTTTTTTTTTGGCGGGGCCACTATTTGCCGATAGCTGGAACCCTAACAGGTGATACCTCCATCCCTCTGCTAAAACGCTTCCCAAATATTTAAACTTAAACCTGCTTGATGTTTGTATCAACAATGTTGAATAAAATAAAAAAAAACAATATCGTTAATTGTACTAATTAAGCAGTTATTTCCCATTACAATCATTTTCAGAGATGAAATGCCACAAGCCTCTCACTGCTTTGTTGCTATTTCCATGAAAGCGTTCACATGAAACCCGTAACCTTTCTAACTTTCCCAACTAAACACCGTCATGTCACACACATTGTGGCAAACCACCTTCATTTCCTTCGTATTTCATTGGTGAGGTATAAGTTCCACTTGAGCAGCTTCTTACGAACAGCTACTCTGTGGAGGTTGCTTCCTCATAGCTACACCATTAACTTGTTTAAGTCTAGGGTGAACCGTTATATTCCCCACATATCCACATAAATTGTGCCTCTTAATCTGTAACTCTCTACCACGAGTGGCTCCTGGGCCTTGTACAGAATGAACATTATTGAAAATTTTTTTTTACTATTACTACTCTAAATATAAATGTGTATTTCAGAAGAAATTTCATCAAATTCATCGTTTGAATTATCTATTGCTATTGCAGACTACGCCATGTTGAATTTTTCTTTTCGTTACAAACCTCCCTGAATAAATAGTCGATAAACGCTAAAAATAACTCTGGTTATGACGCGATAATATGCAAATTTAGAATTCCAGCTAGCGTCATATAGGATTTCCAAATTACATCACCATCAAGCAATCAAATTACAGAACGTTTTGCTGTGGAGTGGGAATGTTCCAAGGCCTCGATTGTGATTGGCTGAATTTTATCATGTGGCCCTCCGCAGAATAACAACATGTTTTTGTTGTTGTTGTTGTTGTTGTTTCTTTTCTCATACAAGGCCGCATCAAAATTTACGATTTAATTCAACGTAAATACGTCACCTTCACATTTAATATATAAATGTATAGATGCATACATTTAGATAGCAGTTCTTTATTATTAATCCCAACCTGCTACTTTTCCAGTGTGTCTACTTGGATGACTAGCTAACGCCTTCTCAGGCATGTTGGTGTTTCTGCAACACACACAGAGCCAACCTTTGTTTTAGCCTCTAACTACGCTGAACGGGCCTTAGTTACAACTTCCGGAAGGGAGCGCATATTCTGGTATGATCATTAGCGGAACAAGGCCAATACGCTGAAACCCTCGGTCACAGTGACTTGTGACTTCGTGTTAGCACATCTATCGACGGCTACCGAACAGTTTTGTCTAATCAATTTCAATCACACGCCTTCGATCAACCTGTGGTATAATATTCAGGTATTTTCTAGTCGTGCTGGGAACGTCTTCCAAAGCTGATATTACCAAGAAGTCCCCTACTTGCTAAATCGAACATGGTGAGATGCGAACCCGGGTCCTGGTCGGAATGCTTATATTATAAATAATAAAAGAGTTTACGGCTGTATCACGTTGAAACACTGGCCTACGTACGTTAAGCAACGTCGAACTAGGTGTGTACATATATGGGTAACCGTTTAGGAATATCAAGTGATGTACGATTGGATGTGCGGTTGGTGTAATGAATAATGACTCGGAATATTTAATAGGAGAACCGAGTCCCATTTTCAGTTGTGTTCGCTCTATTTACTTACGCGCAAATACTAACAATACAATTTTATAATAAATATATATATATATATATTTTATAATATATATTATATATATATAAATAAATATGTTGTATAACGAGAGAAAAGTATATATAAAAGAAGAGGGTGCCGCATTTTTGGTTGTATATTTATTGAGAAAAATATTATATTTGTTTACATAATTTCATGTTTCTGGTCTGGTCTCGCAAACCGCCTTCAGGTAAAGTATTTTTACATATATAAAAAATATTTTTCTTCATGTTCAATGTTAATATTCTCGATATGAGACATTTTTGTGTTGGCAATCCGAATTTTCTTCTAGAATTGTCAATGAAGAGTTCTGCGTGAAGGGTCATAAACAATTAAGGTTTGTCCAGCGAGTAGTTATCGGCATTTAATCTTTTGTGAAGGAAATATACGCACGCATATATACACGCATGCTGACAGGAACACATAAAATAGGAAAGGATCCAAGAGCACAGAGGTCACTAAAACATTAAAAGATTAAAATGCCGATAACTACTCTGGACAAACCTTAATTGTTTTATGAACCTTCACGCAGAACTCTTCATTGAGGCAGTCACACAAACAGAATGTCTCATATCGAAATATTCCACATTGAACATGAAGAAAAATTAATTATTTTAATAATATGTAAAATTCCACTTTCACCTGAAGACGGTTGCGAGACCAGACCAGAAACACGTGTCGTGAAATTATGAAAACAAAGTATAATATTTTTTCTCAATAAATCCACATTACAACCAAAAACGTTTGCGACCCTAATATATATATATATATATATATATATATATATATATATATATATATATATATATATATATATATATATATACTTAATAATAATGGACTATTCCATTTAATAAATACTGCGCCTCAGGAGAAAGTAGACAGTAGTTCAAGTCAGAGAAAGTCAAGAGTATATCCGAAACACAGTAGTTCTGACAATTACTGTTGAATAGGGATACGGTCGAGACTACATTATTCTCTAGTAAAATTGTTCATATAAGAATATTCCTGTTTGTAATTGTTGTGTTTGGCACAATAGTAAAAATAAGAAAATCAAGTCGATTGGTTTAAGGAACAAGTGTATTTAACATCACAGATACAAAGGTAGGAAAAGGGTACTACTCAGCTAGGCAGTTGTAGTACTGTTGCTGCTTACACCGGGTAGGTATTACTGGCACTATATATAGTGAGAACCGGTGTAATTCCCTTGTGTTAGAGGCCGGTGCAACAGTAATATATCTGTGTTATTCCATACCTGTGTTCGAGTTCTTCTTTATTGGTTCTACCTTGGACTATCACCGTGGTACAAGGAACCAGACTATAACAACTAGCTTAAAAGCCGCCCTATTAAGCTAGCTCCTGCGAAGGGCTCTTGATTGTGCCTACGGCTTGTTCAGGATTTTGAGAATCCCTAAGTCTTTGCAAATTCTCAGCATTGGAAGCTCTCCTGGTTGTCGTTTGATCTGGGTCTTCATTTGAACGGGATTTTCTTTTCCTCCCTGCAACCTTGCAATCTGGTCCTCTGTTGGCGGAGATTTCTTTTCGCGAGGCATATTGCGGCCGTATGCGATAGGCAATAATAAACTACAGAAGAACTCAAAATTAATCGCTGAGTTTAAGTATTGCATTAATATTTAAGCTTACCTTTTGGAAAGTTCAACGATAATTCTTCTGTCGCCATTTAATTTAAGGAGAATTTGATGTACGTAGGTCCTTACTTTCCGTAGGAACAATTATTTTTATTTCATGGGTGACATTTTAATAAGGAAAAATTAGTTATAAAATTTGAAAATAGGAAAATAATAAAGAGGTCGCCTGAAATGAGCGTTTATTTTTAAGACATTGCAATGCTGTTATCACATTAAACGTTATTTTTAGCGGATACTCGTATTTAAATAGACGCCCCGTTTATTTATTAAACAGTATATTTATTTATTTTCGTCTCCCGACTTGAACATTCAAAAGACCTTATTAAAGAAAAATATGCGCTCTCCGAAGATTTTCCGGTAGACAAAAATAAATAAATAAATATACTGTTTAATAAATAAACGGTACGTCTACTCAAATACGAGTATCCATTAAAATAATGTTTAAAGTAATAAAATCTGCCGGATTAATTAATAAAATTTTTTATTTATTAATTGCATATTTAAGTATGATTTTTGAAACCTATGTTTGATGTGCTATTATCAGATTATTTTGATATCTATTTCCAGATTTCTTTGTTATCTATTTCCAGATTATTCTGATATTTATTTCCAGATTATTTTGATATCTATTGCAAGAATACTTTATCTATTTCCAGATTACTTTGTTAACTATTTCAAGATTATTTTTTATATCTATTTCCAGATTATTCTGATATTTATTTCCAGATTATTTTGATATCTATTTCAAGATCAAGAATTATTCTGATATTTATTTCAAGATTATTTTGATATCTATTGCAAGAATAGTTTATCTATTTCCAGATTACTTTGTTAACAATTTCCAGATTACATTGTTATCTATTTCCAGATTATTTTGATATATACTTCCAGATTACTTTGATATCTATTTCCAGATTATTCTGACATCGATTTCCAGATTATTCTGACATCGATTTCCAGATTACTTTGATATCTATTTCAAGATTATTTTCTATCTATTTCCAGATTACTTTTACATCTATTTCAGATTATTCTGATATCTTTTCCAAATTATTTTGATATCTACTCTTTCAGTTTCAAAAATAATTTGTTTTTCAGCGAAGTTATTGCGTCAGATATTATTAACGAACTCAGAATGTTGACAAAAGTATCTGTTCATTTCCAGCAGTATTTCTCTTTTAGACTTATTGAAGAAGATCCTTTTTTAATGGAAATCCTAAACTGATCAATGGACGCCTCTTTAGGATTGATTTGTAAGTCAGTGACCAACGTATATAGTGACCAGTTTCTCTTCTGTTAAGGAATTTCGCAACCAGTTTAAATTATTAAATGACAAAGACTTGATTTGACTGAGAAATGGAAGTCATATGCTTAGTGTCTTTAGATTTTAAAAAATAAAAATACAGTATATACTCATGTATCATGCGAAATTTGAAGACCTAATTTCGAAGCTAATTTTAAGGGTGTCGCATCATACACGAGATATAAAATTAGCAGATGTACCGATGGCCTTGACAATGCCGTTGACCAAACTATGCACTTTCTGTAGTCAAAAAGTACAGCTGTATTTGAAATAAACATGATAATAACTGTATACAATAATAATGCATGTAATATTCGCATATTAATATTGTATTATAAAATACAAACATGGCGAATATGCATCTTTTTCATTGTTTACGTTTATAAGATGTCTAGCTGTTTCTCGTTCTATTGTTTATGGCTGTACGCGTTTACGCAACGAGTATAAAGTTACTAACGATACATTTAACATTCTCTTTTACTTTTGAACTTAGTTAACTAGAAGATGCTATAAAGAGATAGAGGAAAAGAGGTTTAGTCTATTGTAATTTGGTCTCTCAAAAAAGTAACCCAAAGGATAGACAAGATACATGATAAAATCATTTTTATAGGTGAAAATTTGAAGCCCGGATGATACGCAAGATCGCGCGTTACACGAGTATATACGGTAATTCATAAATTACTGTTCTGTTAATTTAGGTGATAGGCACCTCTCTACCTTTCAATAACGGTTGAGAAACCTAACATGCAAATTACAAATTGGAGGTACCAAAATAAAGCACGAACAACAATTTAAACATCTGGGAAGTGTTTTCACACAGGATGGAAAGTGTGACACCGAAATCCGAAGACACATTAAGAAACAAAGAGTGAAAAAAACTGAGATTGGTAGAAATAGAATAATGTCAATAGAAAAAAAAGAAAAGAAAAGAGTACTGAACTGTTATGTAGTATCAGTCCTCTTATATGGCAGTGAATGCTGGACAATCTCCTCACAGATGAAGAAGAGACTTGGAGCAACATAGACAATAAAAAGAGTACTGAATTGTGATGTAATATCAGTCCTCCTCTATGGCAATGACAATTTCCTCACAGATGAAAAAGAGAAAAAGCGACAGAAATAAAGAAAAGTGTACTGAATTAATATGTAGTATCAATTTTCCTATATAGCAGTAAATGCTGGACTGCTGGCGAAGAACGGACTTGAAAAAACAGAAACAAAGAAAAGACTACTGAACTGTTATGTAGTATCAGTCTTTTTTTATTCCAGTGAATACTGGACAATCTCCTCACAGATGAAAAAAGGAACAAAGCAATAGAAACAAAGAAAAGTGTACTGAACTAATATGTAGTATCGATCTTCCTACTGAGAATGAAAGAAATTGAGAATGAAAAAAATTGAGAATGAAAGAAATTGAGAATGAAAAGAACAGAAAATGAAAGTAATTGAGAATGAAAGAAATTGAGAATGAAAGAAATTGAGAATGAAAGAAACTGAGAATGAAAGAAACTGAGAATGAAAATAACTGAAAATGAAAGTAATTGAGAATGAAAGAAACTGAGAATGAAAGAAATTGGGAATGAAAGAAAAAAGAATGAAAGAAATTGAGAATGAAAATAACTGAAAATGAAAAAAAAAGAAAATGAAAGAAACTGAGAAAACAAAGAAATTGGGAATGAAAGAAAAGAGGAATGAAAGGAATTGAGAATGAAAAGAAAAGAAAAATGAAAGAAAATGAAGAGAATGAAAATAAACTGAGAATAAAAAGAAAAAGAGAAAAAAAAAGAAACTGAGAATGAAAGAATGAAAACAAATTGAGAATGAAAAAAAAGAGAATGAAAGAAATTGAGAATAAAAGAAAGAGAACAAATGAAAATGAAAATGAAAAGAAATTGAGAAATTGAGAATGAAAGAAATTGAGAATAAAAGAAACTGAGAATGAAAGAAATTGAAAATGAAAGAAATTGAGAATGAAAGAAACTGAGAATGAAAGAAATTGAGAATGAAAGAAATTGAGAATGAAAGAAATTGAGAATGAAAGTAACTGAAAATGAAAGAAATTGAGAATGAAAGAAACTGAGAATGAAAGAAATTGAGAATGAAAAAAAGAAACAAATGAAAATAAAGGAAAATGAAAGTAATGGAAATGAAAGAAAACTGAGAAACAAAGAAATTGAGAAAAAGAAAGAAAAGAGAATGAAAATGAAACTGAGAAAAAATGAAAGAAAAGAAAAGAATGAAAGGAATTGAGAATGAAAGAAAGAGAATGAAATGAAATTGAGAATGAAGAAAGAAAACAAATGAAAAGTAAGAATGAATGAAAAACTGAGAAAAAAGAAACGGAGAATGAAAGAAAGAACAAAAAAAGAAATTGAGAATGAAAGAAACTGAGAATGAAAGAAAGTGAGAATGAAAGAAAGAGAAGAATGAAAAATAAATGAAAATGAAAAGAAAAATGGAAATGAAAAAAAACAAATGAAATTGAATGAAAAAGAAAAATGAATTGAAATGAATGGAGAAAGAAACTGAGAATGAAATGAAAGAGAAAATGAAAGAAAATTGAGAATGAAAGAAAAAGAAAAAAAAGGAACTGAGAATGAAAGAGAAGAAGAATGAAAAGGAACTGAGAATGAAAGAAAGAAACAAATGAAAGAAATTGAGAATGAAAGAAAAATGAATGAAAATGAAGGAGAATGAAAAGAATTGAAATGAAAAAGAAGAAAACAAAATGAGAATGAAAGAAAAGAGAATGAAAGAAACTGAGAATGAAAGAAAAGAGAACAAAATGGAAGAAATGAAGGAGAAGAAAAAATGGAATTGAAAATGAAAGAGAAGAGAATGAATGAAATTGAGAATGAAAGAAAAGAAGAGAACAAATGGAAGAAATGAAAGAGAAGAGAAATAAATGGAAGAAGAATGAAAAAAAAAAAATGAAAATGAAAATGAAGGAGAAGAATGAAAGAAATTGAGAATGAAGGAAAGAGAAATAAATGGAAATTGAGAATGAAAGGAGAAAAAGAATGAAATGGAATTGAGAATGAAAAAATTGAGAATGAAAGAAAAAATGAGAATGAAAAAAAAGGAGAAAAGAAAAATGAAATTGAGAATGAAGAAAAGAAAAATGAAAATGAAAGAGAAGAAACAAAAAAACTGAGAATGAAAATGAGAAATGAAAGGAAATTGAGAATGAAAGAGAAGAGAATGAAAGAAATTGAGAATGAAGGAAAAAGAATGAATGGAACTGAGAATGAAAGAGAAGAGAAGGAAAGAAATTGAGAATGAAAGAAAAAACAAATTGAACGAATGAAATTGAGAAATGAAAGAAAATGAGAATGAAAAGAACTGAATGGAATGAGAATGAAAGAAAGAGAACAAAAGAATTGAGAATGAAAGAGAAGAGAATGAAAGGAATGAGAATGAAAGAGAAAGAGAATGAAAGAAATGAGAAATGAATGAAAGAAAACAAAGGAATGAAATGAAAGAGAAAATGAAAGAATGGAACTGAGAATGAAAGAAAACAAAGAATGAAAGAAAAATGAATGAAATGAAAAAAATTGAGAATGAAGGAAAAGAAACAAATGGAATGAGAATGAAAGAAAGAGAATGAAAGAAAAATGAGAATGAAAGAAATTGAAGAATGAAAGAAACTGAGAATGAAAGAAAATGAGAATGAAAGAAACGAAGAATGAAAGAAAGAGAATGAAAGAAAAGAATGAAGGAGAAAGAAAATGAAAGAAAATGAAGGAGAAAGAAGAAATTGAGAATGAAAAAAAAAGAAAAAAAAAATGAGAATGAAAGAGAAAAGAATGAAATGGAATTGAGAATGAAAGAAAAGAGAATGAATGGAATTGAGAATGAAAGAGAAAAGAACAAAATGAAAGAAAATGAAAGAAAAAGAAATAAAGAATGAGAATGAAAGAAAGAGAACAAATGGAATTGAGAATGAGAAAAAAAAATAAAGAAAAAGAATGAAAGAGAAGAGAAATGAAAGAAATTGAGAATGAAAGAAAATGAGAAAGAAAGAAATTGAGAATGAAAGAAAAAAGAAAAAAAGAAAAAACTGAGAAACTGAGAAAAAGAAAATGAAACGGAGAAAACAAAAGAAAAGGAGAATGAAAAAAGAAAAAATGAAATTGAGAATGAAAGAGAAGAGAAAATGAAAAATGAATGAAGGAAAAAAAAGAAATGGAACTGAGAATGAAAGAGAAAAGAACAAATGGAATGAGAATGAAAGAAATTGAGAATGAAAGAAATGAAAAGAAAAAGAACAAAGAAACTGAGAATGAAAGAAAGAAAGAAAAGAATGGAAAGAATGAAAGAAAAAAAAAATGGAAAGTGAGAATGAAAGAAAGAAAACAAAAGAAATTGAGAATGAAAGAAAGAGAAAAATGAAAGAAGAATGAAAGAGAAAAAACAAATGGAAAAAATGAAAGAAAGAAAATGAAATGAGAAAAGGAAGAATGAAAGAAAAAAAAATGAAAGAAATGAGAATGAATGAAAGAAAGAAAGAAAATGACATGGAAATTGAGAATGAAAGAAAAGAAGAAATGGAAAGAAAATGAAGAAAAGAAAAGAAAAAATGAGAAGAAATGAAAGAAGAAATTGAAAATGAAAGAAAGAATGAAAGAAAGAAAAAGAAAGAAAATGAAAAATGAAGAATGAAAAGAAAAGAAAATGAAAGAGAAAAGAAAGAGAAAAGAAATAAATGGAAAATGAAAAGAGAAAAAAGAAAAAAATGAAGAAGAAGAGAAAAATGAAAAAGAAAAAGAAAAAAAAAAGAAAATGAAAGAAATGAAGAATGAAAGAAATGAATGAATGAAAAAAAGAAAGAATGAAAAAATTGAATTGAAAGAAAATGAAAGAAAAAGAAAATGAGAATGAAAGAAAAAAAGAATGAAACTGAGAATGAAGGAGAAAAGAAAATGAAAGAAATGAAAAGAGAAGAGAAAAATGGAATGAGAATGAAAGAAAAAAAAAATGAGAATGAAAGAAAGAACAAAATGAGAATGAAAAAGAAAGAAAAGAATGAAAGAAAATGAGAATGAAAAAGAAAGAAAGAATGGAATGAGAATGAATTGAAAGAGAAAAAATGGAATTGAGAATGAAAGAAAAAAAACAAATGGAAAAAATGAAGGAGAAGAAATGAAATGGAATGAGAATGAAAGAAAAGAAAGAATGAAAGAAATGAAATTGAAAAAAAAATGAAAGAAATGAAAGGAGAAAGAAATGGAATTGAAATGAAAAAAGAAATTGAAATGAAAATGAAAGAAATTGAAGAAAAGAAAGAAAGAAAAATGAAATGAAAGAAAAAAGAAAAATGGAAATGAAATGAAAGAAAAAGAACAAATGGAATGAGAATGAAAAGAAGAATGAAAGAAATTGAGAATGAAAGAAAAGAGAATGAAAAAAAAAAGAGAATGAAAGAAAAGGAAAAAAAAAGAAAGAAATGAAAAGAAGAGAAAGAAATGAAATTGAGAATGAAAGAGAAAAAAATAATGAAAAAGAAATGAAAGAAAAAGAAAAATGAAAAAGAATGAAAGAAAGAGAATGAAAAAAAAAATGAAAGAAAGAAAGAAAAATGGAAAGAGAAAAAGAAAAAGAAAAAATGGAAAGAATGAAAGAGAAAAAAAAAAAGAAACTGAGAATGAAAAAAGAAATTGAGAATGAAAGAAAGAAAAATGAAAGAAAAAAAAGAAAGAAAAATGAAATGAATGAAAGAAAAGAAGAAATGAAAGAATGAAGGAGAAAAGAACAAAAGAAAAGAATGAAAAACGAAAGAAAAAATGGAAAGAAATGAAAGAGAAAAGAAAAAAAAAAGAAAATGAAAGAGAAAAAAAAAAGAGAATGAAAGAAGAGAAAAATGAAAAAATGAAAGAAAAAAAAGAAATGAAAGAAAAAAGAAAATGAAAGAAAGAAATGAAGAAAGAAAAAAGAAATGGAAATGAAAGAAAGAGAAGAGAAAAAAAAACTGAGAATGAAAGAAAAAAAAAAAATGGAATGAAATGAAATAAAGAAACAAATGGAATTGAGAATGAAAGAAAAAAGAAAGAAATGAAATTGAGAATGAAAAGAAAGAAAAGAAAAAGAAATGAAAGAAAAGAAAAATAAAAAGAATGAAAGAAAAAAAGAAATGAAAGAAAAGAAGAAAAGAAAAAAGGAAATGAGAGAATGAAAGAAAAAGAACAATGAAAGAATGAAGGAAAAGAAAGAAAGAAAAAAAAAGAAAATGAAATTGAGAATGAAAAGAAAAAAGAAAAAGAAAAGAAATGAAAGGAAAGGAAAATGAAAAGAGAATGAAGAAAAGAAAAGAAAGAAAGAAAAAAAAGAAAAGAAAAAGAAAGAAATGAAAGAATGAAAAAATGAAAATGAAAGAAAAGAAAAAAAGAAAGAGAGAAAGAAAGAGAAAGAAAGAAACTGAGAATGAAAGAGAAAAGAAAATGAGAATGAAAGAAAGAAAGAAATGAAAGAAGAAAAAGAGAAAGAAAATGAAAGAAAGAAAGAAAGAAATGAAAGGAAAGAATGAAAGAAAGAAAGAAAAAAAGAAAGAGAGAATGAAGAAAAAGAAATGAAAGAAATTGAGAATGAAGGAAAGAGAATGAAAGAAAGAAAATAAAAGAAAGAAAGAAAAATGAGAATGAAAGAAAAAAGAAAAAATGAAAAGAATGAAAATGAAAAAAGAAAGAAATGAAATGAGAAAGAAAGAAAAGAAAGAAAATGAAAAGAGAATGAAAGAAAGAAAGAAAGAAAAAGAGAATGAAAGAAAGAAAGAAATTGAGAAATGAAAGAAAGAGAATGAAGGAAAGAAAGAAAAAAAATGAAGGAGAAAAGAAAGAAAGAAACTGAAAAAAGAAAGAGAAGAGAAATGAAAGAAAAAAGAAATGAAAGAAAAAAAGAATGAAAGAAAAAAGAAGAAATGAAAAAAGAATGAAGAGAAAGAAAGAAATGGAATTGAGAATGAAAAGAAAGAAAATGAAAGAAAAGAAAGAAAGAAAGAAAATGAGAATGAAAAGAAAGAAAGAAAGAAAGAAATGGAATGAAAAAAGAAAGAAAAGAAAAGAAAAGAAAGAAAGAAAATGAAAGAAATGAAAGAAGAAAGAGAAAGAAAGAAAAATGAAGGAGAAAGAAAAAAATGGAATGAGAATGAAAGAAAAGAGAAATTGAAAGAATGAATGAAAGAAAGAAAGAAAAGAAAAATGGAATGAGAATGAAAGAAGAGAAAGAATGAAAGAATGAAAGAGAAGAGAAAAATGAAAGAAAGAATGAAAGAAAAAGAAACAAAGAAATTGAGAATGAAAGAAAGAAAGAAATAAATGGAATGAGAATGAAAGAAAAAGAAAAAAAGAAACTGAGAATGAAAGAAAAGAGAATGAAAGGAAAGAGAATGAAAGAAAGAAAAACAAAAGAAATTGAGAATGAAGAAAGAAAAAAAAAAAAAGAAATTGAAAAGAAAGAAAGAAAGAATGAAAGAAAAGAGAAACAAAAGAATGAGAAATGAAAGAAAGAAAGAAAGAAAATGAAAGAAGAATGAAAGAATGAAAGAAAGAAAATGAAAATGAGAAATGAAAGAAAAAAAAAAGAAATGAAATTGAGAATGAAAAGAAAAGAAAAAAAAAGAAATGGAGAATGAAAGGAGAAGAAAAAAATGAAAGAAAGAATGAAAAGAAATTGAATGGAATGAGAATGAAAGAAAAAAAGAAAGAAAGAAAGAAAATGAAAGAAAAAAGAAAAAAAAAAAAGAAAGAAAAGAAAGAAAAGAAAAATGAAAGAAAAATGAAGAAAAAGAAAATGAAAAGAAATGAAGGAAAAAGAAAAATGAAAGAAAATGAAAGAAAAAAGAAAGAAAAATGAGAATGAAAGAAAGAAAACAAATGAAAGAAAAATGAAGAAAGAAAAAATGGAATGAAAAATGAAAGAAAGAAGAATGGAAGAAATGAAAGAAAAGAAAGAGAATGAAAGAAAAGAAAAATGAAGAAAAAAGAAAAAAAGAAAGAAAAGAAAGAAAAAAAAGAAAAAAGAAAAGAATGAAAGAAAAGAAATGAAAAAAATTGAAGAATGAAAGAAAGAAAGAAAAAAAGAAAAAAAAGAATGAAAGAAAAAAGAAAGAAATGAAATTGAGAATGAAAGAAAGAAATGAAATGGAAAGAAATGAAGAGAAAAGAAAAAATGAAAGAATGAAAGAAAATGAAAAAAAAAAAGAAATGAGAATGAAAGAAAAAAGAAAAAAAGAAATTGAGAAAGAAAAAAAAGAATGAAAGAAAAAAGAATGAAAAGAAAAGAACAAATGGAAAGAAAATGAAAAGAAATTGAGAATGAAATGAAAATGAAAGAAAGAAAAAAAGAAATGAAAAATGAAAAAAAAAGAAAAAATGAAAAAAAGAAACTGAATTGAAATGAAAGAAAGAAAAGAAATTGAAAAAAATGAAAAAAAGAAGAAAGAAAATGGAACTGAGAATGAAAGAAAGAGAAGAATGAAAGAAATGAAGAAAGAAAAGAAATTGAAAAAAAGAAAGAAAATGAAGGAGAAAAGAAAAAAAGGAAACTGAGAATGAAAGAAAAGAAAGAATGAAAGAAAAATGAAGAAAGAAAGAAAAAATTGAAATTGAGAATGAAAGAAAAGAAACAAAGAAAGAATGAAGGAGAAAAGAAAAAATGAAAATGAAAGAAAGAAAAAAAAAAAACTTGAGAATGAAAGAAAGAAAAAAATGAAAGAAAATGAAAGAGAAATGAAAAAAAAATGAAATGAAAAGAAAAAACAAAGGAATTGAGAAAAGAAAAGAAAGAAATGAAAAGAAAGAAATGAAAGAAAAGAAATGAAAGAAACTGAGAATGAAGGAGAAGAGAATGAAAGAAACTGAGAATGAAAGAAAAAAAGAAATGAAAGAAATTGAAAAGAAAACAAATGAAAGAAATGAAATTGAAAATGAAAGAAATGAGAATGAAAGAAAAAGAACAAAAGAAAGAATGAAGGAAAGAAAAATGAAAGAAATGAAAGAAATGAGAATGAAAGAAAAAAAAGAAAAAAAGGAACTGAGAATGAAAAAAGAAAAGAAAGAAAGAAATGAAATGAAAAGAAAAAAGAAAAAGAAATTGAGAATGAAAGAGAAGAAAAGAAATGAAATGAGAAAAAAGAAAAAAGAAAGAAAAAGAAGAAAAGAAAGAATGGAAACTGAGAATGAAAGAAAAGAAAGAAAGAAAAGAAAGAAGGAAATGAAAGAAAAAAAAAAAAAAGAAATTGAGAAAAAAAGAAAATGAGAATGAAAGAAATGAGAATGAAAGAAAAAAGAATGAGAATGAAAGAGAAGAAAATGAAAGAAATTGAGAATGAAAAGAAAAGAAGAAAGAAAGAAAGAAGAAGAAGAAAAGAAAATGAAAAGAAAGAAAGAAAGAAAGAAAAAATGGAATGAAAAAAGAAAGAAAAGAGAAAGAAAAGAAAAGAAATGAAAAATGAAAAAAAAAGAAAAAAGAAAAAATGAAAGAAAAGAAAAAGAAAGAGAATGAAAGAAAAGAAAGAAAGAAAGAGAATGAAAGAAAAGAAAAAAGAAATTGAGAATGAAAAGAAAAGAACAAAATGAAATGAAGAATGAAAAAAAGAAAAAAGAATGAAATGAAAAAAAAAAAAAAGAATGAGAAGAAAGAGAAAAGAAGAAATGGAAAAGAGAATGAAAGAAAAAAAAAAGAAAGAAAGAAATGAAAAAAAAAAAAATGAAAGAAAGAAGAATGAAAAAAATGAAAGAAAAAAGAAAGAAAAAAAAAAAGAAAATGAAATGAAGAAAGAAAGAAAGAAAGAAAAAGAAGAAAAAAGAAAATGAAAAAAGAAAGAAAGAAAGAAAGAAATGAAAGAAAGAAAAAAAGAAAAGAAAAAAGAAAGAAATTGAGAATGAAAAGAAAGAGAACAAAGAAACTGAGAATGAAAGAAAAAGAAAAATGAAAGAAATTGAGAAATGAAAAGAAAGAGAAAAAAGAAAAGAAAATGAAAGAAACTGAGAAAGAAAGAATGAAATGAAATGAAAATGAAAGAAAAAAAGAAAAAATTGAAAGAAATGAAAGAAAAAAGAAATGAAAGAAATTGAGAATGAAAGAAACTGAGAATGAAAGAAAAAAGAAAGAAGGAAACTGAGAATGAAAGAAAGAAAAAAAAAAATGAGAAAGAAAGAAAAAAAAAAATGGAATGAGAATGAAAGAAAAGAAAAAAAGAAACTGAAATGAAGGAAAGAGAAATGAAAATGAGAAATGAAAGAAAGAAATGAAATGAAATGAAATTGAGAATGAAATGAAAGAGAGAATGAAAGAAATTGAGAATGAAAGAAAAGAATAAATGGAATGAGAAAGAAAGAAAAAAGAAAAAAGGAATTGAGAATGAAAGAAAAAAGAAAGAAAGAATTGAGAATGAAAGAAAAGAAGAAAAAAGAAAAGAAAGAATGAAGAAAAAAAGAGAATGAAAGAAAAATGAAAGAAGAAAAGAAGGAATGAGAATGAAGGAGAATGAAAAATGAAACTGAGAATGAAAGAAAAAAAATGAAATGGAATGAGAATGAAAAGAAAAAAGAAATGAAAAAATGAAAATGAAAATGAAAGAAAAAAGGAAAGAAAGAATGAAAGAAAAGAAATGAAAATGAAAGAAAGAATGAAGGAAAAAAGAATGAAAGAAACTGAGAATGAAAGAAAGAGAAGAAATGGAAAAAAGAATGAAAAAAAAAGAAAGAAAGGAATTGAGAATGAAAGAAAGAAAGAATGAAAGAGAATGAAAGAGAAAGAAAGAAAGGAATTGAGAATGAAAGAAAAAAGAATGAAAGAAAATGAAAGAGAAAAAGAAAAATGAAATTGAGAATGAAAGAAAGAAAACAAAGGAATTGAGAATGAAAGAAAAAAAAAAAATGGAAACGAGAATGAAAGAAAGAAAAAAAAATTGAAATGAAAGAGAAGAAACAAAAAGAAAGAGAATGAAAGAAAAAGAAAGGAAATGAGAATGAAAGAAAGAAAGAAAGAAAAGAAAGAATGAAAGAGAAAAGAAAAAATGAAAGAAATTGAGAAGAGAAAAATGAAAATGAATGAAAGAAAGAAAGATGAAAAGAAATGAGAATGAAAGAAAAGAAAGAAAGAAATGAAAGAAGAATGAAAAGAATGAAAGAAAGAAAATGAAAGAAATTGAGAATGAAAGAAAGAGAATGAAAGAAATTGAGAAAAGAAAGAAAAAAAAAAGGAAAGAAAGAAAGAAATTGAAGAAAAGAAAATGAAAGAAAAAAAGAAAAGAAAGAATGGAAAGAATGAAAGAAACTGAGAAAAAAGAAAAGAGAATGAAAGAAAGAAAGAAAAAAAGAAACGAAGAAATGAAAGGAGAAAAGAATGAAAGGAAATTGAGAATGAAAGAAAAAAGAATGAAAGAAATGAGAATGAAAGAAAAGAAAGAAATGAAATGAAATGAAAGAAAGAGAAAAAAAAAGAAATGAAAGAAGAGAAAAATGAAAGAATGAAAGAAATTGAAATGAATGGAAATTGAGAATGAAAAGAAAAGAAAAGAAACTGAGAATGAAAGAAAAAAACAAATGGAATGAGAATGAAAGAAAAGAGAATGAAAGAAATTGAGAATGAAAGAAAGAAAATGAAAGAAACTGAGAATGAAAATGAGAAACAAATGGAATTGAAAATGAAAGAAGAAGAATGAAAGAAAATGAAAGAAATGAAAATGAAAGAAAAAAGAAAAAAACTGAAATGAAATGAAAGAAAAAAAGAAATGAAAGAAAATGAAATGAAAATGAAGAAAAAAAAAAAGGAAATGAAATGAAATTGAGAAAGAAAAAAATTGAGAATGAAAGAAAGAGAAATGAAAGAAATTGAGAAAGAAAATGAGAAGAAAAGAAAAAATGGAATTGAGAATGAAACGAAGAAACAAATGGAAATGAGAATGAAGAAAGAAAAAGAAAAAAATTGAGAATGAAAGAGAAGAGAATGAAAGGAAATTGAGAATGAAAAAAGAAAAGAAAGAAAGAAATTGAGAATGAAAGAGAAGAGAAAATGAAAATGAATTGAGAATGAAAGAAAGAAACAAAAATGAAATTGAGAATGAAAGAAAAGAGAATGAAAGAGAATGAAAAGAATGAAAAAATGGAAAGAATGAAAGAGAAAAGAATGAAAGAAACTGAGAAAGAAAGAAAGAATGAAAAAAGAAAGAATGAAAGAGAAAAGAATGAAAGAAAGAAAGAATGAAAGAAAAAAGAAATGAAATGAGAATGAAAAGAAGAGAATGAAAGAAACTGAGAATGAAAGAAAAGAATGAAAATGAAAAAAGAAAAAGAAGAAGAAAAAAATGAAATGAGAATGAAAGAAATTGAGAATGAAAGAAATTGAGAATGAAAGAAAGAAATAAATGAAACTGAGAATGAAAGAGAAAAAGAAATTGAAAATGAAAGAAAATGAAAGAGAAGAAACAAAGAAATTGAGAATGAAAAAGAAAGAAAGAAAAAAGAAACTGAGAATGAAAGAAAAGAGAATGAAAAGAAACGAAATGAATGAAAGAAAAAATGAACTGAGAATGAAAGAAAAGAGAAAGAAAGGAATTGAGAATGAAAGAAAAAAGAATGAAAGAAAATTGAGAATGAAAGAAAGAATGAAAGGAAAGAATGAAGGAAAAAGAATGAAAGAAACTGAGAATGAAAGAAAAGAGAACAAATGAAAGAAAATGAGAATGAAAGAAACGAATGAGAATGAAAAAAGAAATTGAAAAATGAAAGAAAAGAGAATGAAAATGGAATTGAGAATGAAAGAAAGAAGAGAACAAAGAAATTGAGAATGAAAGAAAGAAAGAAAGAAATGAAAATGAAAGAAAAAAAGAGAATGAAAGAAATTGAGAATGAAAGAAAAGAGAATGAAAAAACGAAGAATGAAATGAAAGAAAGAGAAAAATGAAAGAGAATGAAAGAAAAAGAGAATGAAAGACATAGAATGAAGGAAAGAGAATCAAATGAAAGAGAATGAAGGAAAAAGAAAGAAATGAAATGAAATGAACGAAGAATGAAAGAAATTGAAATGAAAGAAAATGAAAAAAAAAAAAAGAAAATGAGAAATGAAAGAAAGAAAGAAAAAAATGAAAAAGAAACTGAGAATGAAAGAAAAAGAAGAAAAAGAAATTGAGAATGAAAGAAAAAGAATGAAAGAAATTGAGAATGAAAAAAAAGAGAATAAAAAGAAATTGAGAATGAAAGAAATTGAGAAATGAAAAATTGAGAATGAAAGAGAAAAAGAAAAGAGAATGAGAATGAAAAGAGAAAGAATGAAAGGAATTGAGAATGAAAGAAAAGAGAATGAAAGAAATTGAGAATGAAAAAAGAGAATGAAATGGAAATGAGAATGAAAGAAAGAGAAAAAAATGAGAATGAAAAGAGAATGAAGGAAAAAGAAAAAATGAAACGAAGAATGAAAGAGAAGAAATGAAAGAAATTGAAATGAAAGAGAAAAGAAAAAATGGAAAATGAATGAAAGAAGAAGAATGAAATGAAACTGAGAATGAAAGAGAAGAGAAATGAAACGAATGAGAATGAAAGAGAAGAGAAAAAAGAAATTGAGAATGAAAGAGAAGAGAAGAAAAGTAGAACTGAGAATGAATGAAAAAAAAAAAAATGAAGAAGAAAAGAATGAAAGGAAATGAAAATGAAAAAATTGAAATGAAAATGAAACTGAAAATGAGAATGAAAAGAAATTGAAAAATGAGAATGAAAGAAAAAAAAAATGAAACTGAGAATGAAAGAAACTGAGAATGAAAGAAACGAAGAATGAAAGTAATTGAAAATGAAAGAAATTGAGAATGAAAAAAAATTGAATGAAGGAGAAAGAAAAAATGAGAAATGAAAGAAACAAATAAATGGAAAGAAAAGAAGAATGAAAGTAAATTGAAAATGAAAGTAATTGAGAATGAAAGAAATTGAGAATGAAAGAAACTGAGAATGAAAGAAACTGAGAATGAAAGAAACGAAGAATGAAAGTAATTGAAAATGAAAGAAATTGAGAATGAAAGAAATTGAGAATGAAAGAAACTGAGAATGAAAGAAAGGAAGAATGAAAGTAATTGAAAATGAAAGAAATTAAGAATGAAAGAAACTGAGAATGAAAGAAACTGAGAATGAAAGAAACTGAGAATGAAAGAAACGAAGAATGAAAATAATTGAAAATGAAAGTAATTGAGAATGAAACAAACTGAGAATGAAATAAATTGAGAATGAAAGAAACTGAGAATGAATGAAACTGAGAATGAAAGAAATTGAGAATGAAAGAAATTGAGAATGAAAGAAATTGAGAATGAAAGAAATTGAGAATGAAAATAACTGAAAATGAAAATAATTCAGAATGAAAGAAACTGAGAATGAAAGAAATAAAGAATGAAAGAAATTGAGAATGAAAGAAACTGAGAATGAAAGAAACTGAGAATGAAAGAAATTGAAAATGAAAAAGAAACTGAGAATGAAAGAAACGAGAATGAAAGAAATTGAGAATGAAAGAAATTGAGAATGAAAGAAATTGAGAATGAAAGAAACTGAGAATGAAAGAAACTGAGAATGAAAGAAACGAAGAATGAAAGTAATTGAAAATGAAAGAAATTGAGAATGAAAGAAATTGAGAATGAAAGAAATTGAGAATGAAAGAAATTGAGAATGAAAGAAATTGAGAATGAAAGAAACGGAGAATGAAAGTAATTAAGAATGAAAAAACTGAGAATGAAAGAAACGGAGAATGAAAGAAACGGAGAATGAAAGAAACGGAGAATGAAAGAAATTGAGAATGAAAGAAACTGAGAATGAAAGAAATTGAGAATGAAAGAAACGGAGAATGACAAAATAATTGAAAATGAAAGTAATTGAGAATGAAACAAACTGAGAATGAAAGAAATTGAGAGTGAAAGAAACTGAGAATGAAAGAAATTGAGAATGAAAGAAAGGGAGAATGAAAGAAAGGGAGAATGAAAGAAATTGAGAATGAAAGAAATGGAGAAAATGTTAGTGAGTGGAGACGAGATTAAATGAACATGATTCAAGTCGGCAGAAGATGGCGATTGACGTCTCATTTAAATTTTTGCAGACCGCAGATTTCAGGAAAGTAAGAAACCGGAAGTGCGTTTCTGCAAGCGAGAATTGCAAGGGAAGAAACTATTAGAATAGAACTTACGGTTACATCAAATAATTTTAACAATAAAACGAGGAAGCTTAGCTGTTATTATAGTATAATAAACGAGAAAAAAACAGACAAAAAGAAACAATCCCCCAAAATTTGGGCAGGATATTAGAATAATCCAGAATTTATACTGGAAGTAAATCACCAGCATGGGGATAGAAAATAAATTTAGTAAATATACAATAATATAAAGGGATGAAAGACAATGATGTGTCTTCTCACCGGACATATTAACTTTTGCAGTGAAGTAATTCTGAGAGAATTACAAGTCCTACCAGGATTCATTATTGGTGACCACAATCTTGACATCATAATATATACGGATGATACAGTGTTGATGGCAAGCGCAGACAGGAACATACAGGAGCATCTATAGAAGGCAATAACGGAAAGCGAGAAGAAAGGACTAATCCCCAATTGTAAAAACACATAATATATAGTTATCAGCAATAGGAATATCTCATTATGCGAATTACTAATTGGAGTCACCAAAATTAAACAAGTAGAAAAAAATTAATTATTTACGAAGTGTTTTAACAAATGACGAAAAATAAGAAATGGAATAGCAAAAGATGCCTTCCAAAAGTTAAGCAAAGTATTAAGAAACAGGAAAATTTCGTTAAAAACAAAGAAAAGAGTACTGAACTGTTACGTAATATCAATATTCCTATGAATGCTGAACAATCTCTACGCAGATGAAGAAAGACTTGAAGCAACAGAAATGTAGTTCTACAGAAGGATGCTGAGAATATCATGGACTTGAAGGCAAATACAACAGAGGGAATGCGGCGAATAACCTACCTAGTGAGCTTGTGTAAATGGTTGACAAAAGAGGGATTAAGAGAGATAGCAAAAAGATAAACCTTATGAAGAGCTACAAAAGACGGGAAAATGTGGAGAGGCTTGATTGATCGTATCCTGAAGAGCCACGACTCAAAGAAGAAGATGAAGAAGAGGAAGAAAGAGAAGAAGAAGAAAAAGAAAACAATCAAAATTATAATGATTTACTGACTTATTATAAACCATAGTTATATTTCATTTCCGATATTTTTAGCGTGCAAGAAATGGTGTTTCAACTTGATATGGTCATATGATTCCTGTTAGCGTTTCCTTCGTAAAAAGCTTCCTTCAGATAAGAAGACGTTTGAGCAAGGTAACATTATCTCTGATTGCCGATTCAAATTCCACAATTAATATATTTGCAAGCATATGTAATACATAAATGGATTGATTGTCACGAAAGAATTACATTCCCACGAATAGTATTACAAGCAAATTTCTTCCACCTGTCAACCCATCGCGTCCCAAACCAAATACGAATTGGTAAACTCGAAGATCGTACTTTATTTGCTCACATAAAAAAAAAAAAAAATCTGTTGGCTTCTAGCAACTCTGATCACCTCATTGAAGTTTGCTAAGAATACGGCGTTTTCGCAAATCCGAAGAGACCAGAAACCTTTTAAACGATAAACCAGCCTTCAAGGAAGGTTATCGGAACCTTAGTTGACGATGAGCGCTTGGAAATCCCTCGTTTAACGTTACAATCCATTGTCGCCTGGCGGCTGAAGGAAAATATTTTAGCGGGAAGATGGTGGCGGAGGGCTGCGGGAATCGCTGATACTTGACCATTTTCTTGTGAAAATGTGAAAGAGTTGGATAATCTGCCGATGCCAAATACTGGTTTCTGCTTTCCTCTCTTTGTAAATAGAAAAGCCGGTCCGGAAAGATTAGGTCCCCATTCGTATAATTCTTTAGTCACGACCGCCAT